AAAAAAAAAAAAAAAAAAAAAAAAAAAAAAACAAAATGCAGGTCGGATAGGACAGAATATTTCAACTGCCCTTCATGAGCTCAGGAATACAAAACAACCACTTGCAAGAGAAGAAACAAGTAATCAAACAAACATCAGCTCTCTCTCACTACACACACGCATGCGCACACACACACACACGCACACTGTTTTGATTGTGTAACAAACCTAAGATGAGAAAGAAAGAAGTATTACTTTTGTTTGGTGTGCATAATATGTGACTAGACCTTCTAATGTCTGAGTTGAGACTGGCAACTTCACATAACCGAAGGAGAGGTTTTACTATCTAAGAGTGATCAGAAAAGTCATGAGACTGAGACTGCCCGACATTTTGATCTTAGAACAGAAGCTAAGTTTACCCTTGTGAATATATTTAAAAGGAACATACATTTGCTTAGCAATTAGTCCCTGGAAATTCTATAAGACCACTAACTGCATAATCTCAGTAACAACCCACCACAACTGGGTCGACACAGTCTTACAAAATATATTGGAAAGAACTCTGTCAGAGTTCATTGGTGCAAAGTTTAGTTGTTAAAATAGCTTCAATTAAAGTTCAAACAAGGAAGAGCATTACATCATATATAAGTAACTCCTGAAATATCAAGGTATTTTGAGAAATTGACTTAAAAGGTAATTGCTGCTTATTTTGTTTACTTTAAATCTTGTCACATTCTACATTTTGCTTTATAATTGTATTTTTAATCAATTCTCTGCAACTTCTCCAGAAGTGTTGGAACACTTTCCATGGTATTGTTTTATTTTTTATTGAGGTTTATATAGAAGCTGGATGATTCTAAGGACATAAATTCCATTAGTTTGTTTTCACAGGTTATTTTATCTGAAACACTACTAAACTCTTACTTTTATTTTAAATTCCTTTCAATTAATCAATATATGGTAAAGACACTGATCATTAGAGGGCTTGTTTAAAAGAATTCATTTCAATTAAAAATACTACCAAAAAGTGTGTAATTTTTACATGTGACTTAATAGAAGTCCTAGTGAACATCTTTTAAATGATGTCTCAACTACATCATTTTGCATTCCCAGATTAAATTGCAGCTTCAAATGTTAAATATTTATTACAAGATGATTTATTATGAGTCATAAATTCACAGATTGAAAAGAAAATATTTAGTATCTTTAGAGAAATGTGCTAAAAATTCCATTGCAAAACAAAGTTTTCAACATTTTACAAATTGCTTTCATCTCCTGATGTTCTTAAGCTTTCTCAAAGGCCAATTTCTTTTTTTATTTCCTTCTACTCAGGTGAACATGATCTTCATAAGAACTCAGAAGACTTAGCAAACACTGAAGAAAAACGTGCTGACACACATCCATAGGTCTGAAACACCTTAAAGGCTTCTGCCACTTTAAACACAAGAGGTAATTTTATATTTTGGATGAGAAACTTAATTTCTATAATGAATGGTTTACAGAATACCCTTAGAGACAAAGTTATCTTCTGTAAATTCTCTTTTTAATTCTTTTTTTATCAATCAATCTGAGGCAAAACTTTACCAGGTAAATTTTAGATATCCCCTATAAAAATTATGATTACTGATAATAAGCCATTGTGTATGTGAAGGTTCATTTTTTAACTTCAGTAGGAAATACAAAAGTTTTACACTGGCTTCTATTTTTATTTCATGTAGGGAATAAGAGCATTTACACTTTCTGATGAAAGCAAAACAAAGGCATGTCATGAAACAGATACCATGGCCATGTGCATTACTAGTACTTCTTTTAAAAGTTCAGCTTGTGGGAAGTCCTTTCAGTCAATGAAATTGTTAACTCTGGGAGTGATGCCTCGGAAATCTGAATTTTGAATAAGCCTGTCTGTTGATATTTCTGTTTACTAAAATTGAGAACCATACTAGAGTGTAGAGAGTAGGTATAGGCAGTGAGAAAGGAGAGGTGTGTAGGCACCATGGAGATGTCTCAGTGTCTGTCAGAAAAAGATAATAAATAAAACCTCAGTATTATAATCAATCTTGCTGTTTGGGTGGTGGGGCAAAAGAAAATGTTAAGACCACCATACCAAGCCTTTAAGATGTTATAATTAGTAATCTTGAGTTACAGAGACAGTTGTGAATCTGTCACCAGGTGACCGTCTTACAAATATATCTCAGTGAGTCCTTTCCACAATTGCATGGTTAATGGTTATGATTCTTATTTTATACATAGCTTGGAAAGATGTCAGGCCACAAAGTGGCTCTTCAGCAACTAAAACCCATCTCCGTACTTAGCAACTGTAATATTTTGTTTAAAATTAGCTATATTTCCTCTCCATAATCTTCACTGAAAGTATACATTTACTGCCTTTAGAGCCCATGGTCATTTCAGAAGTGTCCTTGGGTCCTGCTGATACATACTGAGATCCTGAAGAATATTTTAGGTAAAACTAATGTGGTGGAATATTGTAAATATTTTATGTAACAAAGGGTATTGTTGGCAAATAAGGATCATTAGCCAGCAAAGTAAAACAAAATTAAGCAGGATTCTTTCCTAGAGGACACCTTTAAACCAATGTACAGTATATGCCTTCAAAAAAGAAAAAAAAGAACTTTAGGATCAGCATTTTCTAAGCATTTATGATGTGGGCCTGGAATATTTCTAAATTTGTAAAAAATGTATGAAATGCATGTTACCAGTATATTTCGGAAAATGACCACTCAATGTATTCAAAGGTTCTTTTATTGGGAATAAAACCCATACATAGACACACAGACAGCAGAAATAGGAAATAGAATTTTAACTGATAGGAAAACAATATTTTTTGTATACTGATAAATCCCTTATCTTGGCAAGTTTATCAAGTAAAATGTGAAATTGTCACACAATAATCAATGCCTGCATACAACTCATGATCTTTATCTTTCTTTGCATTTATTTTTAATTGGTATATATTTATATATTTAGCGCACATATGTGCTTTAAATATATATACCTGGTGTAATGCTTACATTGATATAATCTGCATACACAATATAAATTTTATATATTAGCACATATATATGTATATATATAAAACCTCATATACTTGTAATTTTTTCATAGTAAGAACAGTTAACATCTACCCTTTCAGCAATTTTTAAGAATATAGGACATTGTTATTAGCTAGTGCCACCATGCGTGCAGTAGATATTCTGAAGTTATTCCTTCCAGCTAACTGAAATTTTGTATCTTCCAACCAATACCTCCTTTTGTTTGTTCTTCATTTTCATTTGATTCTTATTTCAGGATGATGAAAACAGCACTAAAAAGCATCCCAAGTCCTCAAATTCCCACCAAGCTACATTCTCCTTCTTCGGCCTGCAATTGGATTGGGCCATTTTAATGGAATCCTGTAGAAGGAATAAGAACACAAATTATAAGTGAGCAACTGGCCAAATAAGTACCTTCAAGTTTCTGTGGGAGCTTTTGGCCGATGCCTCCCCCATCGCTTTTCTTCACAATTTGGCCTTCTTCAATCAAGCCAGAGAAATTTTTAAGACAAAAGATAGGCAGTTTTAAATTTGCATCACTTTTAACTCATCACAGTACCTGTACAACACATGTGCAGAAGATGAAGTGTTTTAAACGTACTTTCTTGGACTGTCTGAAAAAGAGTTCTAACTACAAATTTTTCCAGGTCATAAATAAAAGCAAAGCAAAAATGAAGTGGGAAAAAACAATTTTTTTTGATGGCACTGGAAAGCAAGTTGTTTAGATTGTCCTTATTTTAAATGCATGGGGACAAAAGGAGAGCTGGGGTTGCTCATGACCTGCAGCTGAATGCTAAGGCAACAATGGACATCCTCGCTGTGGCTCGGTGACCTGACGAACAGGATGATGCTCAAGCTGAGAAATGGCAGCGCAGCTCAGCCTTTCCCTGAAGCCAGCGGACCAGCGGCATCCACCCCGTAGCATCATCACCAAGACGGTGTGGTCACAATGGAGTCACACATTACCCACAGCCCTCAGTAACAGCCCTTGCTGGAGACAGACACTTAAGGAGAGAATGGAATTTGCCTTCTAGGGTGTTGATCCCATCTGGGTGTAATAAAATATATTACAGGCCCAGGGATAAGATGCAGGAAGGGTTTGTGTTTGCGTGTGCACATGTATTCAGAAACTTCCATGGAAACGGAAGCCCACACTTTTCTGTAGAGATAACATTATTTGATGTGACTTTTTAAATGTACTAAAAGAAAACAAACTGCCACCCTCAGAGGTCCTGCCTCTTGTGATGTTTTGCCTGAGCATGTGCAAAGCCTTTCCTTTGCTCCAAACTGAAGAACTACCTTTTGTTTGTTATTGGCTGGCAAGAAAGGTCAAGCGCAATTCAGTGTTACAGCTTTGCACTGTATGAACGTGTCAGCAGTTGTGATCTTAAGTGAATCTGTCTTTGTGAAAAGTGGATATAGGATGGAAAGGACTGATAAGAGTCATCCCTTATCTGACGGAAAGTAGAGGTGTCTATCCATTCTAATGAGTTGCCTGTTGCTCCCGCTTCTTTCCCGGGTTACACAATGCTAAGCAATACTAGAAATGGATACAATCAGAAGCTTTTCAGCCTAAGTGGTGGGATTTTGTAACTCACACTTGGATCTCTTTTAAAGTGTAAGCCATATTCTATATGCATATTTAGTATGCATCATTGTAAATTTAAGATGTATTTGTGAGTGCACAGTGTAAAATGCTTCTAAATGTTCTGTGAATATGGCCCTTAACATTAGTTTCCTCTGAATCTTGTGCAGAACACAGCTCAATAACTGAATTATATTGTAGAGATTACAATGCAATTGATGTTTTAAATGTAAGGAGTCGTGATTGAGCTATAATAATGCACTGGGGAAAGATTTATAAAAATGCACAACATGGTGACTTTTTGTCCTTTAAAAATAGACTTTTTATTTCTATTTATGGATAAAGCTGTAACTATTGCTTTTAAAGTCTTTTTTAATGAGCTCTTTACCATGCAGAAAATACTCTGCATTTAAAATAGAATATGATTATCTGGGAAGTATTATTACTATGGTTCCTACTTGAGCCAGTTCTTTCAGAAAAGCTATGGGCTCTCTGAGGGAGGAGCACATTGCAATACTACTTCTCAAATGGCGTCCAAAACATCCACTTTCATCCTCTTAATTCTTTAATATCTCTCTACTTTGTTATAAATTCAGAAGAATAGAAAGATTTGAACCAATTTCTGTGTTTGGGCTTTAGCCAAGTTTTCCAGGTTATATGACTCAGAAAGCCCTGCGGCTGACCTTGCAGAAGGAGTAGGGAAGACATGCCTTGTATTCAGCTAGCGCTTAGCCTTCTTGGGGCACTTAGCCTTTCCCTGCTGTCCCCCTTCCGCATTCCTCTCCCTTTTTTCTTTTTATTTTCCATATCTCTTCTTTCTTCATTCTCTCTGCAAGACAGCTGTGATTTGGCACTAGCAAGAAGTTGGCGTTGGTACTATCTAACAGGAAGATGGATGGAAATTACCCTACATCTTTCCTTCTCAAACACCAACATGGGGTCCATTCTGCAAAGAGGGTTGATGAGTTAGGCTGCTGCACCTGGAATGTCCTGCTTTGCATTTGTATTCCGAGCTGATCGACATATATATCCTGCAAGGTCATATGCCTTTTGTTTAACCAGAGCCTCTTTCATTTAATTTTTAACTTGACAACCTACAATTCTTCTGTTTTTATTATGCTGTAATTCTCTGTATTTCCTATTGTATATGATTGCTAAATAAATCATATTTGATGGACAATATCATCATACGTTTGGTGTTTGATGTAATTAAATATGGCAGGGCAATGAAAAGTTGGAGAAATTGGGAGAAACCAGAAGTAGATCAAGTGAAAAGTTGTTTTGACAAAAAGTGATTTTGGCTTATTAAGGAAATATTTATCAAACATCTATTATTATACAGTTATGTGTTAACTCCTAGTTAGAAGCATGGTGTGCATATAAATATGAAAGTTAGAATCTTTTCTATAGAAATTTCAGGTTCTATAGAGGAAACAATTCTATTCCTATTCTAATTTATGCCAAATAGCTAAAAGGCCACATATAAAGAAATTAAGTACAAATAAAATGCATGTGTGGGTTTTAGAGGAAGCAAAAGCTGTTTCCATTTACAAAGCTCCCAAGAAGATTTAAAATAAGTGGTACATAAACTGACACTTATGAGGTGAAATATATGAAGGTTTAAATAAAAATGTTATTACAATAAATGACACATTGTTATTGATTCTCCTCAAAGCATTCGCCCTCACTCCCAACACACAGCCCATCAGTCTTGTCACTTTCTAAAGCAGTAACAGAAATCCTCCCTTGTGAGTGTGTTGATGAGATGTGATGAAAAATTTGACGAATGCTGCCCCTGAGGGTTATCCATCCAAAGGTAGGCTTGGAAAACTTTATAGAGTGTCCTCATCCACCTGTTCACCAGATATGATACCATGAGACTTCTGGCCCTGCCTCAGTGTCAAAATGGCCATTTAGAAGCATTTCAGAATGTTGAGGCAGCCATGACAATGAGACTAAAGACACTCACGAAAGGGCTTCCAAAACCACTTCAGAAAGTGTGAAGACACTTCAATGCACTTGTCCATCATATTTGATGGACAATATCATCATACGTTTGGTGTTTGATGTAATTAAATATGGCAGGGCAATGAAAAGTTGGAGAAATTGGGAGAAACCAGAAGTAGATCAAGTGAAAAGTTGTTTTGACAAAAAGTGATTTTGGCTTATTAAGGAAATATTTATCAAACATCTATTATTATACAGTTATGTGTTAACTCCTAGTTAAGGGAAAGTGCATTGAAGCAAGGGCCTGGGTGCTGTGAGGGGTCTGTAAACGGCAATGTGTCTTTTACCACAGCGAGCTTTTAAATTTAAATATTCACCCTCTGTTTCAGTAATACATCATAAACAATACCAAAATCTTACAATCATTCCCTATTTTCCATATATAGTCTCCATGCAAAATTCTTAACAAGTATTACCTGTAATCTTCACCACAATTCAGCAAGTGATAAAGAAAACCAGGTCTTAGAGAAAGAAAGAGTCTTGTCCAAGGCCATCCAGATCTTTACCATTGGGAGCCACACTGGCTTTGGTTCTAGGTCTCTCTGGTTCCAAAGGTCGTGTTTTCTTTCCACTGAATACAAGTAGGCCAGGACAGAAGCACAAAAGGGACAACTTCGTAAAAGAACAATGTGAATAAGGGAACGCTAGAGAAGAATAAAGAAGCAAAGGTGTCAGTGGGCATGGTGGTGCACATCTGTAGTCCCAGCACTAAGGAGACTGAGGCTGGAGGACTGTTGTGAGTTTGAGACAAGCTTGGCCTACAAAGTGAGCTCAAGGCCATCCTGAACTGTATAGCGAGACCCTGTCTCAAAAAGATTAAATGAAAAGAAAAGTAAAAGTGTCAAGTCAAGGTGAACATTTAGTGAGTTCAATTAAGTGAACTGAGAATAACTGGTATGGTGGGCACTGCCTCCACAATGCCAAGGCACTCTCCTGAAAATGGAAAAGTTGATCTACTCATCAGATACATGACACTTAACTGAGATTTTTTTACTTCAAATGTGATTACAGGATAAATTTCCACATGCTATCAGAAAGCTTTTTTTAAGGCCAGATTTTTATTTAGAAATATAATTCACGTATAGAACATGTATTTCTTGTATTGTCTTCTGAACTACATTTAATTGCTTTTTTAAATACTGCAAACTTATCTACCATTTAGAACAACCTCAAAAAAGACAATATATTTTAGTTAAAAAATGAACACCTATAATGTTCTGCTTTCTATTCTTATCTTTTTGTAGAGAATTCCCAATAATTTCTGTTCCTTTGTACCTGGTACATTTTTCTCTCAGACATTTAAAGATTATAATTAGTGATTTAGGTTTTCTAATTTGTTACAGTCTCACTGCTGCACTTTTTTATATTAGCCCTTTTACTTTCTATAATGATGACACGAGGCAGTATCATTCCCATGTACGATGCAGACACATAGCGCAGAAGCTAAGGTAATTCAGGTAAATGTATCCATTTAGGAAGTTGAGGAGGCTAGATATGAAATTCACGGCAATCTGACTCTCAAAAATAATAGACAGCGCTGTCTTCAGCCCTAGGTAGATGACTGTCTCTTCCTCACTACTTACCATACCATTCCCTTCCCTTTCTTCTCCTTGTTCTATTTTGCAGACACTTGGCAGAACTTGCAGCGAGCAACAGTGGATGGTGTGCTCTTTAGTAACCAGTTAAATCATGAACCATTGTAGAGCCCTGCTATGCAAAGCACGGGCCTCCCTGAACCCTCTGAGAAATAATCTCAAACCCCCTTTATTAGCTACAAAACTGGAATTTCCGTTTTACATCAATATTTGATGCTGTAAACAGGAATTAAATAGTAAACAGATTGTTCTAAACACCTAGTAAGGGCAAGGAGTGTAGCTTAGCAGTAGTGGACTTGCTTAGCATGCACCGCCCTTGAATCCCATCTCCAGTACTGCAAACATAAAAATAAACTCCTGTTAAGTACTTAAATGCGAGAGTGTCTTTCTTCAAATTGGAGGTGCTGAATCAATGCCCTTGACACCTGTGCGCTGCCGCAGATCCATCCACACACACCAAGACAGAAGCACAGGTCCAGGCTCTGGTGTTCCTTAATGGGCTGTGCCTGTCTATTAATGAAATACCATTCCCTATATGCACAATTAGAGGCAGAGCCACGAGGGCTTGGAATAAAAACATCCTGCCAAGACAAAACTTTACACATGGCTTCAATGCAAGGCATTCTGCTTTCATTGGCTTATGAAGGACTTTGAATTTCCCAGTGTACAAGGGCAACATTACTTACATAAGTGACAAACACAACATTCAAAAACAGTTGAATGTGTTTTATTCTTATCTGCCAGTTTTTCTTGTAAACCTAGGAATTTAGAAGACGTGATGCAGATAATCTTGGAAGGTGCAGGTGAAGGAGAGGGCAGTAAACACCAGAAGTAATGTTACTTTTAATGCTTCACCTTTGCCCAGGGTGAAAGGAGAGGGTTGGTGCTCAGTCTGGAAGCAGCAAGAGATCTGAGCCGGGGAAACACAAAGCCCAAAGGAAAAATAGAAAATAGTGAACTGGGATTGATGTATAGAAGGCACAAGGGGCAGGGTGCATTTTCAGTGCAGAGAATGAGTAGCTGGCATGCTTCATTAAGACCGCAGGGCAAGGTGTGGAAAAGGACAAGATTCATGCTAAGGGCAGGAACTGAGAAAGACCTGAGGGGCCAAAGGATGTTGTAAAGAAACAGTGCACGCAATAATTCTCATGCTTTGGTTTACCAGAGAAACAAGGACTTTGGGTGAATGAGTTTGGCTGGGCAAATTCTTCTGCGTGGAGACCACTATGCTTATTCCATATATTGTGTTATTGTACTATTTTCTGCCTTCTGAGGATTGTGCTTTTATTCCATCATAAGCTAACCATCACAAGCTACAATTGCCGTGTGTGTGTGTGTGTGTGTGTGTGTGTTTTCTGTGTAGGATTTACTATGCTGAAAAGGCTGAAGCACACATGGGATTCTCTTAGCCCTCCCCTGACTTTAAAGACCTTGAAATTTTTCTAAATGAGTCTGCCACAGGGTAGCCTAGGAGAAGGTACGAAGCTAAGAGACCACAGTGTCACTCCATGAGTCACAGCTTTGATAAACTTTTGGAGGATGAATGATAACAACCCTTAAATAATAATGCATCCAAACAAACACAGCTGAGGTATACACACCAGGAAGAAAAATGTAATAGTCTGAAAATTTGTACCTAGTAAAAGTTTGTGCAAAGAGCCAGAATTTATTTTTTCTACGTCAAGCTCTTTTTCCTGTGGATACTGTCCTATAAATTATATTTTAGAGCGTACATAAGGAATCTCTTCTCCTATGCTGAGCCTAGCAGTGCATACTTATAATCCCAGCATTTGTGAGGCTGGAGCTGAAGGACTGCAAGTTCAAGTCCTGCCTGGGCACCTTAGTGAGTCCCTGTCTCAATGTAAAAACAAAAAGGGCTAGGGAAGTAGCTCAGTTGAAGATCCTGAGATCAGTCCCCAGTACGAACAAAACAAAACAAAACTCTTTGCCTAAAGAAAAAAAACTAAAACTATCATTTTTTCTTCAAAATCTCTGACTTTGGAGGTTAAAGGAAGGCTCTTGTCACTTCAACTTTATTTGATAAACCACCCTGTCATTTCTAAATTATTATCAACTGTACAATAAATATGTTCATTTTCTTATGTTCTTATCCTGAAAGACATGAAATTGAAGTTCATTTTTAAAAACCAGCTTTTTGTGTGTGGGTAATAACATGAATGTTTGCGAACAAGTGAAAAAATGATGCTTATTTAGAAAGAATTGTCCTGCGCACCCAACATCAGTTGATTTTACTTCAGTGTGTGTATGTACACATGCGTGTGATTGAGTGCACACGATTTGGTGGTTTCAGATTAAATATTAAATTGGGGGTTTCGTGCTGGGTGTGGTGGCACATGCCTATAATCTCAGCACTCTGGGAGTCTTCAAATTTCCAAACTCCTGTTTTACAACACCTGCTCCACTAATTAAAATCACAATTTCCTTCCTTAACAGAACCGAACAACACCTATAATTCTTTCTGTGATTATTTTTATATTTGTCTGATTATAAAACCAAAATGCACGCATTCCCTTTGTTTTAAACCATCTCCAATGCTTTGTTATAGAAAGGAATGAAATAATA